ATTGACCAGTCGCATATGGTTGCACTATGCATTTGGATCCATTCGTAACATCGCAGAGTTTGATGAAAGCTAATCTGGCCTATACAATAACCGGCGGTAGTCTACTGATGTATCAAATTAGTATTTTTATCTTCTTATAGAAGTTTCGCGCCAATTCACTGACACGGGAGTGATGGAGGCTGGATTCGGTTAGGCAGCAAGTCTGGCCACAATTTTTATAATCGAGGAACGAAGCCATCTATATCTATTAACGACTGTACCAAATATCTTCACAGAAAAGTTGATCTTGAATAGTAACCATGATCATATCCCATTCCATTTCTTTATACCGTTTGGTGATCTTCTTCGCGAAAAGAAGATACTTCAAAAAAAAAAAACGAAAAGGTCCCCAATCATTATGTTGGTGACAACACCAATCTTCTTCTAATGACTTTATCTATTTAGCAGTTTTATGACAATTCGATGTTTTTCTTCGATAAGCAGACACGAGGTTGTTATTATGGGATTTATTAGAATACAATAGCTGACGTTTCGGCGGTTTCGTCTTCTTCAGGGTCTGGAAAGGTCAAATTGAGATGCGATCCACTCAGCCAAACACTTTCATAACCTCAGCAGATAAAACTTAACAAATCGATTTGCATTCGCATAAGAAACAGCTTCATTTAAACACCTGCCGTTTATTTGTTGTAATTATTTAAGTTAGCTGGTGGATAGCAGCTGCACAGAGTAATACATGGGCGAGGGCTGTGCCTGTGTCAGGTCATTGGATTAGCCTGAGGTATGGCGCCAGGTCACACGTGATGACAAGACACTCCTCCTTGCGGTTCATTTTTGAATTTTTGGCATTGATCCAAAACGCTTCAAGAGTTTTACGCGCTGATGTTTTCGATTCCTGCATAAGGATAGTGACTCCTACCTCAAAATCTCCGTTGTCTTCCTGCATCCTATGCGCGCCCAGTGGAGTATTTTGTTTTAATTTAGATTTACCGACTAGATGTTCTTTTATGCGGACGCAGAGCGGTCTACCTACCCGTTTCGCCAACGTATTCGCCCCCGCACGCTTTATAAGAGATCAGATAGACTGTGTCCGAACTCATGCAATCACCGTCTTTACCATTTGGGCAAATAATGCAGTTTTTCGTAATACATAGACGGTCATATAGGCGGTTGCGAACTAGCTGGCGTCGTAGAGTGTCCGATGGTATTTCTATCACTCTTACGGAATTCTCTAGACTGGCCCTTATTAAGCAGCGTTTTACAGCTGCACTTATTTCGTTTGAAGTAAAGGGCAACAGGAACGGAGCTTTGTTTTCGCTAGAATTATCGCTCTGGGGCGTGGGATTTCCTCTATGCCTACGCTGAGAAGCTACAGTTTCGTAACCATTTGAAATGGCTATTTGCCGCGCCAGTTTCGAGGATTCTTCCCTCTGATCTCTACCTGTGCACACGCTGGCAGCAGTTCGAAACATATTTCTTATAAGTGCCCTTTTAGTGTGTGAGGTGTGAGAGGAGCGGTAACGAACCACTATATTCTTACTGCTTGGTTTTCGATACCATTTTGTGTTGTAGCCGTTTTCGGATAGGTTGATTTGAACGTTTAGAAATGGAAGCCAGTTTTCCTTCGGTTTCCCATGGGTGAATTTGATGTACTCTGACTGTTCGTTCAATAACTCAAAACATTTGTCCATCTCCTGTTGTGTGGAGCAGATGACAAAACAATCATCTATATAACTACAGTAGAGTAACGGCCTGAGATCGATTACTGGTGCTTCAACTTTACACATAAAGGCAACGACAAGAGTTGGTGCTAGTCGCTGTCCCATTGCCAACCCTCTAATTTGCGCGTAGCATTTCCCAGACCATCTGAAGATCGAGCAGTTTAAACAGACTTTAGGAGGAGCATAAGCTGCTGAATCGAAAAGCTATACATGTTAATTGTTCCTTCGTGTTTTAGTGTTGCTCAAAAAGCTCTCGAATGGCTTGCATTGCGGAGTCGTTCGACACGTTAGTTTAAAAGGCGGTAACGTCGAACGACTCCATAACGTGCGCGCTTTTGGGACGTGCGTTACGCAGACGGTCTAGGAACATATGGGTGTTCGTGAGATGGGCTAGTATGTGCCTAAGCAACTGGTTGAGGATTAGGATTAAAAACGAAGCAATTCTACCGTAGGCCCGTCTACACAACTGATGATGGGTCTCACTTTAAAAGTGGAGGGGTCGGTAGACGCCAGATCATCAGCGGATATTAACCAATGGGTCTTGATAAGTCAGTATAAAACGGGATATGTCGGCACTTCAACCTTAAGATGCGAAATGTCTGCTGGTTTTAAACCTGCTACGCTTGCCATTTTGACCCATTCGTTGTTCAGTTTTCGATTTTGACTTCTGAATTCCTTTTCAGTAGATGCGCAATNCTGAATCGAAAAGCCATACATGCTAATTGCTCCTTGGTGTTGCTCAAGAAGCTCTCGGATGGCTTGCATTGCGGAGTCGTTCGACACGTTAGTGTAAAAGGCGGTAACGTCGAACGACTCCATAACGTGCGCGCTTTTGGGACGTGCGTTACGCAGACGGTCTAGGAACATATGGGTGTTCGTGAGATGGGCTAGTATGTGCCTAAGCAACTGGTTGAGGATTAGGATTAAAAACGAAGCAATTCTACCGTAGGCCCGTCTACACAACTGATGATGGGTCTCACTTTAAAAGTGGAGGGGTCGGTAGACGCCAGATCATCAGCGGATATTAACCAATGGGTCTTGATAAGTCAGTATAAAACGGGATATGTCGGCACTTCAACCTTAAGATGCGAAATGTCTGCTGGTTTTAAACCTGCTACGCTTGCCATTTTGACCCATTCGTTGTTCAGTTTTCGATTTTGACTTCTGAATTCCTTTTCAGTAGATGCGCAATAAAGAGATGAGTCTTCAAGATGTTTTTTTGATATATTGACATCTAACTAGCGAGGAATTACTACAAACTCTTTACCCTTATCACTAACTGATAGCCTAATAATCTTTGATTTTATTAGCTCTCGAACCTGTCGCATACCAGATTTTTGCGTAGCTGTAAGGTTCGAACTAAACCTTTTCGCGCGGTATTGGTTAAGGGCTTTAAGAGTTTCGCTCGAAAATATACGAAATTTTATATCGACTTCGTCTTTTGGTTCTTGCTGTCTGAAGAATAACCGAGGAAATGGAGGCGGTGGTAGTGCCCCTACTTCTCGTTGTTCCTTCCTATTTTGTGTCTCAATTCTAGCGTTGCTTTGGAGTCGATCTTGGAGCTCGTGCAGGCTGCACGCTATCCTAAGAAGGTTTCTTTAGAAATGGGTTGCGCTGGTGAGAAACTTGGACCCAATTCTAATAGCGGGCGCGCGTCATCAAGGAGAGTTATACGCCCGAAAGACGACTTCAATTATGTGTTGTTCAATGTTGGATCTCTGCTTGAACTTATTTATTGCAGGAGCTTTCACTAGCAGATAGTTCGCTTTGAATAATTCCTTAGATCCAGCATGGTCTTGAAACTACTTAAGGAGCATCTTTATTGTTTTTTGCCCTTTATTTTTTGTAAGCAGAATATGGTATGTTTTGTCTTCGCTATTTCATTCGTTTTTTTTCCTGCCAGAGATAATATGGCACGTGCGTGCGTTTCAATGATGGATGACGTTATTTTAGCTGCTTTTTTCGTTCTTCGTTTCTAGCATAATTCATTTGGTGTTGTAAATCTATGAGATTATTGTTCTTCAATTGTAACAGTATGGAAGTGCGGAAAGCTGCCGATCCTGTTTATCACGCCACCCTAGTGGGAACACTAGTGTTTCGGTCCTGAGTTCGCAGTTACTAGCACATTGATGAAGCCATGAATTATATATGACTGATTTCCTTGCCCTTTTTCAAACGGAACCTTTTTGTTATGCTTTCTACAAGCGTTCGATAGCTTATACAACAAAGAACTTAAGAGTTTGAAGGAAAGGCCTCTTTCGGAAGAGTTTTTCCTGTTGATTCGAACGATGCCGCTGGAACTACACAGGGCTTTTGCTCTATTTGTACACTGATCCGTCCCATACCAAAAATCTTACGCAAGGTTATCGGCAATACCACATTATAAGCTACTATTAGGTATTGGATAGGAGGGTAAAGATAAACAAAATTACCTTGTATTTTCCACAGAAGTGTTTAATTTTAAGAGAATTGCTAACACCAGTGTTCCTTTAGGATTCATTCACGCCATTCGTATGCCTACCAGATTCGCCTTTACATTTCACGCAAATCTCAGAATTTTTCCCATCCAAATGGTCATCACGCAGTCATCATTCGTCAAAATAATTATGTAGACTTCTTATGTGGACTTGGCAGTGGTATAAAGAAAACTAATGTTTTCCCTAAATGACATGGTCTACTGTGGACAACTTCAGTTTTCCTTTTAATCTCAAGATAAAGGTCTTAGCGTGATTCCATATACACGACAGGCAGTCGTTTACTGAGTCATATACACTAAACGAGGCTTGTTCCTTTGGAATTAGGATTTCTCACGGACGGTAGCTATTTCTGCGGCGGCATTAATCTTGGTGAGTTGTCGTATTAGTTAGTCCGAGACATAGGATCGAACCAAAGACCACATATATGTATGTATGTGTGTACATGTGTGTGTGTGTCTGTGTGCCTGTGTGTGTGTGTGTGTGTGTGTGTGTCTTCTATGTGTCGCATTGTTCACACTTCGTAAATGAAAACGTGTTTCGTGAAGCGTTATTACCGTTGTGAAATGACCAATAAGGAGCGAGAGAACGATGTAACGGGCAGATTTCTTTCTGCTACGTTCAAATTTCTTCAAGAAGAACTATAAAATCTAAAAGCTTTTCATTCCATGCGAATAACAAATGATGATCGTTATGTCAATCGATGAGATCAATAATACTATGAACACTGTTGAATAATTTAAAATGCTTAGTAACCACGAACACAGATTGACGTCCAAATTACAAGAGACTGAAAGCAGTGAAAAATTCAATTCTCAAGCTTTGCCAGCAGATTCAAATATTGCGGGCTTTGTAAGAAACGCACGTATGGATCGTTTCGAAGGACCTGAAAATGGTTAGAACTTCTTACAGTGACCAAATTATCAATAGTTTTATAATAATTTTTTTAGCATTTTTTTTATATGATCCGTGTTCACGTCTACCGTGTGGATCCCAGCACTTCTCACATTCAGCTCGTTTCCTCGCATCCACTGTCCACGAAGATCTTCAACTTGTGTGGCTTCGGTTGCTGCCTGAGGATTTTCATTTTATCGTGAATGTCGTAGAAAGCTGGTCAAGCAGTGTCCCCTGGAATCCTGAGATAACCAGGCTGGATCGTTCCTAACTGGATTTCAGATAGTGATTCCCGGGAGGGATGAGAGGCTTGTTTGGCCCGGTATGGAATTGGGGTAGTATGCTCGTGATGACAGAGTCCACTACCACTGTGCTATCCGCTTCCTAATTTTATAATGATTAGACCGATAAACACTGACAAGAAGTACTTACTGCAGTATCACAGTCAGCGTAGATATAAATGTATATTACTTGTAAACATTTCTGGGTACTCAGTGCTATGTTGTTTCTCATAACTTCTAAGTCGTCAGTGAACAAAGCTCATTTCTTTTCGACATAACAAGCTTTGCATACGGTATCAACGTCGTATTGTAATGACACATATTGACCAATGTTGATTTCTACCATCACCTGACCCCGAATGGTTTATACTGTACCCTACAGTATTTCATCTAAGAAGGACATCTCCGCTACATTTTCAAACAATTCCTTATACAAGATACCACTTCCTTTTTACAAATATTACTAAAGGATTGCACCTGTTCCACATGTTTAATAGCTTCGTCAAAGAGTGAGATATCGACATCCTTCTCATGAATTTTCTTTTCGATCACCTGTCGAACACCAAAGGGCAGAAATACCTGAACGACTTGCGATTTCATCTTGTTTTGTAGGATTTTGTCTAAAGAAAGGAAACTTCGCTACACATCACCTAGCTACCCTCCATATTAGATCTCCATTATTTTTTTGTGGTATTGCTCGTTAGTATTATTTAACCGTTGTATACCTTATGCTTAATTCTCATCAAACGATCAACTCTACAACCTCATTATTGGCACCTTCAGCAAGAAAAGTGTTGAGACAACTTTTCCCAGCGTTCAGCTGAGCGGTGCTTTTATTCTTCATTCCGCGGAATTCCACGACGGCTTCCCAGAATCGTAGGTTTTCCTCGGCATGAATTTCACGCAGGAACAAGCGAAAATGATGACGTCCCACCTGGAATATTTTCTCTTATTTTTCTTTTCATGGAAATAGTTTTATTTTTTTCCAGGTTTTTGCACTATTTTTGCCGTTCCGCTTTTGATTTTGGTGTGGAAGTGTTCCTTGCCGTTGAATTGTTTAATACGAATTCACTTCCACAAATGACCATCTACGTCGAATATTTGTGCCATTCAGAAGCCAAACTGTTTAGACATAGGCATGCATTGCTTATACCGTGATAGAAAGTGGGTTGCAAAGCGGGCGTTCCACCTTTGTTTCAATTCAGAAAGATCTGCTTACATCAATAATGATGTCCCGGCTAGAGTTTCTTGAGACGCTAAGGAAAAGAAACTTTGACAAATACCATGGCATCGGTTTGTTATAACATATATTGAGAGCTAAACGATTCTTGTCAGAAACAAGCGGCTAAAGTAAGTGTGTATTGGAACCTTTTCTCATTGTTAAGTGCGGTCTCACACCTTTACCAGCGAATTCTCCATGTAATGAGCACGCCATAGCTACTCTTATATGTGATGTATGCCAATATGATATAAAAAGCGGTAGCCCCGGAAAGGGCAATAGCGTGTTCGTTCCCCACCTCAGACACCTGTGGTTCGGAGTTTTGCAAAAACATCAGCGCCATTGTGGTTAAAGTAGTAGATTTATACACGACTCTTATGCTTTAATGTTAAACACTTCTCAAATTTGGACCTGGAGAATAGTTTTTACTTTGACGATGAAAAAACCATTAGCAATTTCGCTCGACAGATTTCCAGTTGATGCTACTTCTGCTTATTTATAAAAAGAATTTTTAGAAAATAAACTTGATACTTATTTCTAGTGAGCACTCAGCACTTACCTGATTACCAAGCAATGCTTCGAAGCTTGTCATCCAACGCTCGGCGTACGCTCTTGGAAGAAGTTTTTCGAGAAAATTCAGATAGATTTCAGAACGTCGGAAACGCGGAAACTGGTCGTTTTCTAAAAGTCGTTTCACCTAAAAATATCTAAATGACCTGACAATATTCTATAAATACGATTTGTCAAATGTATAACAGTGAACGTTTACAAATGAACTAAACAACAATAAGGTGACTTTGCTGGGAAGAGCTTAAAAAATCTGAAGTGATCATAAAAATTCTGGTGCGCTACCCTAATATTATCCTTCACATAAATACTTACTTTATACTTGATACTTGAACGACGCGTCCTTACTGGTTGTGCGGGTCCCAGCATAATTTCCATTTCTCGGAGATTTGCTGGCTAAGCTATTATGGTTAGCTGGAGTTCCGAGGTTAGTCTGGCCAAAATCTGCCCCAAGTCTTCACCACCACATCCAGTCGCAGCCCTTGTGGATCAGAGGGAGATTTACCACCATGCGGCTTTGATGCCAGGGCGGTGGTGGATCTTGGTATTGGTTTACCCTTAGCTAGAGTTTCTGATGGAAACGCCGCACTCCTTCTTAGCTTGGGAGACTCTGCCCTGCCAGGATGATTCTTTCGCTATACATCACATTATGACACCCAGGAACACCACCTAGCCGCGATGAAGTGGAAAACCGCTAGGAGGCAGAAATCCTTCACGTAAATATAGTGCTTACATTCTGCACTTTTTTTCATAAGACGATTTTTTCTGTTTACATTTTTTTCCTACTGTTTCTTGCTTTATGGTGACAAAGTGAGTGGTTGTAGTACCATGCAAATCGTTACTCCCGTCAACAGACCATCTAATCTGTTTAGGAATTTGGCATTTCGACCCAGTAGCTCAGCTTACATCCCAACGGTTTACCGCCTCATCATGGCTTAGAGGTGTTTCTAAGTGTTGGGCTGCGATGTGCGGGTGGGGCATTCGTCCCTCCGGTGGGGTCTCCCAAGCTGAGAAGAAGTCCAGCGTTTTCATCAGGAAGCCCACCTAAACGCAAGCCAATACCAGGATTCGTCACCGCCCTAGTACCAAACTAGTCACGTAGTAAATCCTTCTCTGAACCACAAGAGTGGTTGTTACGACCTGGGGCAAACTTTGGTCAGGTTGATCTCGGGGCTCCAGGAACCACAGTGGCTAAACAAGCAAATCTCCGAAAAATGAAGATTATGCTGGGCCCGCACAACCAGTGAGGATAGGCCGTCAAAGTGTCAAAGTGTCAAAGCTCAGCTTAATGTAAACTACAGTAGAAGCCGTAGCTATTCGGAGTTCACAAGAGGGGTCGTTCAAATATCCAAGTAGCTTTCACGTCAATTTTCATTATGTTTCAATATAAATGTGGTCTAGTAAGGTGAGAAAAACTATAAAAATGAACTTTTCACAGCAACCAATTTAATTTTCAATGACAGTCGTACGCAGTTCCATTATAAACAAAATTTTTCGAAAATGAGCCTAAGAAGCTTCTTCGAAAAATTCAACTGTCATTTTGATAAATCGATTTAAATTCCAGGATTGATTTCGATGTGCATCGTACGGAAACGATTTAAAGGATAATGAAGACATTTTGATCCATGTACCTCCTTGACAGCTGGAGCAAATTCTTCCGGATCGACATTTTCGGATTCTACAGTATCTTTAATTTTCTGAAATATAAAAATTTACGTGGAAACCTTCCGTTTGACTAAAAAAACAGACAATCAGTGGTCTTCTCTGATGCATCAATGGAACTTCTTGCTATTACACTAGGGGTTTGATAATTTAGATTTTGCCTTCAATTTCCTAGAAACATTAATTCTATTTATATTCTGAAAAGTGAAATCACCTTGGAAAAACTGCTTATACCTCTACAAGAGTGAAGAAAACCAGCATTCTCTAAAAAGTAGTACAAGTCTATCAAGTTCTCTAGGAATTGGAATAAGGAAGAACCAGTAGTAGTTGTCGAAAAACCAGCACTGAGCCTTTTGTATTACTTCTAAGGAACAATTATATTCTTTTCTGCTCAAGGACTTCATATGAACATGAAAAGAAAGCGAAGAAAGGAAAAGAAAAATCACTTGCCTTCATTGCAACACTGCTTAGATTAATGGAGGGCGAATAGAGCTGGACGATCTCCTTAGCGTACTCCTTTAAAAAAAAAACAACATTAAGAAAACGGCTGAAATAAGAAAAGAAACCAAACCAAAGACTTCCCAGCGACCAAATTTGCAATAAACATCAGAATTTCTTATTTCTTATTTTTATTTAAAATGATCCGTCTTCGTGTCTGCTGTGCAGATCACAGCACTTCACACATTCGTTTCGTTTCCTCGCATCCATTGTCCGCGAACATCTTCCAACTTTCATCCACTTTCTTCTGTTTTGTTAAAATTTCTTTGTTTAGTAAAAGACCAACAATCTACAAACCCTTACTCTGCTTAAAGCTCGGAAATATAGTGAAAACCTTAACAAAAAGTGAATATGTATTCTTTCTTGATAAGCTTGCACGAGGTTGATAAATATATTTATTTTCGGCTAACGTTTCGACGTCTTTGTCTTCCTCAGAGCCGATGGTTCGAGTCGATGGTCCATGATTGTTGTTCGTCTCGACGTTGCAGCTTCGCCTTCGTGTCGAGCCAGGTCTTCCTCAGTGAGCCATCTTCTCGAATGAGGCATCCTCACTCAGTGATGCCCTTTCATACACGATGCTGATGGTGGATATATAATGATAATGTCCGGTGGTAACAGCTTGTATTTCTTCCGGGCATACATCGTTGCGCACATCGTGCAGAAGTCGGAGTTTTCGTCAGCTAGCACAAAGCGTAGTAATAATATTTCGAAACCGACTTTCTCTAAACCTCGGTGTGACTAATCAATATGTATTCTTTCTTGATAAGCTTGCACGAGGTTGATAAATATATTTAAAGGAAAAAAAAAGTGAATAATTGGTGACGAAATTGTTAAAGCAGAACCTAGAAACCTACCCATACTATTTTCCCATGTTGCTCCTTAAAAAGTTTATGTGTGGATTCACGTATACTTTTCAAACTTTTCATGCATTTGGCAATCATTAATCGAATTAGCAATTGAATATGTATTTTAACTTATTATTCATTGCTTATTCTTTTCAATGGCAGGGTATATTGCGAAATATGACCTTCAATGATGCTGAGATATTTGCAAAACTCCGGACCGCAGGTGTCTGCGGTGGGGAACGAACGCGCAATTGTCTTTTCCGAGGATTGCCGATGAATATTTGGGCTCACCAGATCAATTCCGCTGACGGGTGATTGCTGATGGCAAAAGATCGATAGAACTAGCTGAGAGACAGGCGAAACGAAGGACTCACATGGTGTAGTGATGAACGCGTTACTCCCCGGAAAGGACAATAGGGCGTTCGCTCTCCAACGCAGACACCTACAGTCCGGAGTTTGGAAAATATCTCGGCATCATTGAATATGTATTCTTTCTTGGATAAGTTTGCACGAGCTAACATTAACCGAATAAAGATGATATATAAACATCGTGTAAGCTTATCAAAGAAGGAATACGTATTGATTAAATCTTTCCACTTTTGTTCAACAAACACGAGGTGCTATTCCAGTTTCCCACTCACGTAAAAGCTGACGTTTCGGCGGATTTCGCCTTCCTCAGAGCCTGGAAAGGTCAAGTTGACAGCAACCTATTCGGCCAAACACCTTCATAACCAAACAGAGAAAACGCTAAACCAAGATTTCAATCACACTGAACACAGCTTTGCACACTCACAGCTTTCTGAAGCTTCCACTTCCACATGTCGCGTGAAGTCCAACCGCACAGAATTCACATGGAAGCGTAATGTTCCCCTCCAATCAGAATAGCAGGTTTACATTCTGCCCAGTACAGGTGTGGCAATGAGGCATTCTTCCCTGCGGTTCAATTTCGGATTTCTGGAATTAATCCAAACGCCTCGAGTGTTTTGCGCGCTTGTGTTCTTGATTCCAGCGCGAGGATCTTGACACGTACTTCAAAGTCCTTCCCGTTATGTCTCTGGGTCCTATGCGTGCCTAGCGGGGTATTTGGTTTATGTTTTCCGGCTAGGTGTTCTTTTATGCGGACATAGAGAGGTGTGCCCGTTTCGTCAATGTATTCGTCTCCGCACGCCTTACAGGAGATCAGATAAACTATACCCGAGCTCACGAAATCACTGTCTTTACCATTAGAGCAAATTATGCAATTTTGCATTGTACATAGACGGTCATTTAGGCGGTTACGAACTAGCTGGCGCCTAAGATTACTCGGTGGCATTTCAACTACGTTTACCGAATTCTCTAGACCCGCCCTTCTTAAGCAGCGTTTTATAGCTGCACTTACATCATTTGAGATGAAGGGTAGGATAAATAAGACCTTTTTGTCGCTAGAGTTATCGTTTGGGAGCCTCCGATTTCTCCTACACTTATCCCGAGCTACAGTTTCGTAGCCATTGGAAATGGCTATTTGCCGCGCCTAGTTCCGCGACTCCTCTCTCTGCTCTCTTCCCGTGCATACTCTGGTTGCTGTTCGAAACATGCTTCTTACAAGCGCACTTTTCGTGTGAGAGAGGTGAGAAGAGAGGTAATGTACCAGGATGTTTTTACTACTTGGCTTTCGGTACCACTTCGTAATGCAGCCATTTTCTGATAGGTTAATTTGGACGCGCAGGAATTGAAGCCATTTTTCTTTCGGTTTCTCTCGGATAAACTTGATATACTCTGACTGTTTATTCAATAACTCGAAACACTTGTCCATTTCCTCTTGTGTCGAGCAAAGGACAAACAGTCATCTATATATCTACAGTAGAGTAGCGGCCCGAGATCAATCACCGGTGCTTCCACCTTAGACGTAAACGCAATGGCGAGACTTGGTGCCAGTCGTTGTCCCATTGCCAACCCTCTTATTTGAGCGTAGTACTTTTCGGACCATCTGAAGATTGAGTAGCTCAAGCATTCTTTTAAGAGTGCTGTCAACTGCTCTATCTTAAAGCCATACATGTTTATTTCTCTTTCGTGTTGTAGGAGTTCGAATATGGCTTGCATTGCGGAGTCATTCGACACGTTTGTATAAAGGGTAGCTTTTACGTGAGTGGGGAAGTGGAATAGCACCTCGTGTTTGCTGAACAGAAGTGGAAAGAATTGTTCAATCAATGCCGAGGTTAGTAGAAAGTCGGACGTAGGAGTTACATATTGATTAGTCATGTCGAGGTTAAAAAAGTTGGTTTTGAAATAAACAATTGAAATTGATTCCAATCTTTTTTTAAACGTAACTGTACTCTTTACAAACATCGTTAACCCAACTAAGAAGAAGAAAATAACGACCCATGGCTCGATTTAAAATCTTTAGTGATGGTTTATCGTGAATTTCACTATGAAGGACTTTTCTTATTTCATATGATTCGCGGCTACTTTGCGGATACTAGCACTTCTCATATCCAATTCGCTTAGTGGCATCCATCGTCCACGAAGTTCTTTTAACTTTCTACGTGTGGCTTCGGTTGCTGCTTGAGGACTCTTCCCTTTATCTTGAATGTCGTAGAGTGCTGATCGAGTAATTCTCCCTGGAGTCTTGAGATAGCCTGGTCGAAGCGTTCCCATTTGGATTGCAAGGAGTGATTTTTTCCCAGACAAGTCCGGTACCAATTTTCCGACCTCAGGGGATTGAGAGGCTTAGTTAGACTGGAGCAGTATCGAACTAACACCTGCTCGTGATGACGGACATTACTATCACTGTACTCTCCGCTCCCTCAGTGTGAGGGTACATATCTCAAAATTGTATTCGGACGAGTTCACAGCATAATGCTTTGTCAATCATTCGGTGATATTGCAGATATACAGTAGCAACTATTGCAAGTTCAATAGCGTTTTTTGCTTCTTAATATCTTCACTCTATGCTTTTAAAAGCAGTACTGTATTCACTTTACCTTCTTTTCATTACTGTTCTTCATCTTTTTCAGTTTGTCGACAGCTTCGAGAAACGATAGATTCTCCTCGGCCAAAGATTCGAACAAAAAACAGCGAAATAGCTGACATCCTAAAAAAACACCTAATGAGACACTTATCGTAAATTTCTGCCCTGATTGTTTAAGGCAAATTTTTTAGTTTTTTTTGACCTTGGGGTGTCTTGCTCATAAAGAGTAGTAACTGTCAGATCCTTCTAAGTAAAAGCTTTAATTTCGGAATGTTTCGAGACCATCATTGCGAACGTTCCAGATGGTCGAACAGAACTAAGAACCGTATGCATTGCCTTAAAAAACCTTAGAGGTTTCCGAGTGTTCATCTTCGATGTATAGGGAAAACGATATTCCTAGCAACGTTATGAAAGCTTACAACGAGACCTTTATATATGGGTTCGAAAGTTCACAATGCCAAGAAGCACCACCTGCAACCTCAGCCACAGCCAGAAACCTTTTCACAATGTAGCAGACAAACTTTGATGGAAAGCAGTCAAAATTTTTAGAGAGAGGATAGAAAGCTCTCAGCAAGGGTCACTCATTTCCATCAGTTTCTCGATTTTTTGTGAGAACGAGCTTCTCAAATATAACCTGTTTAAAAAGTTACAAAAAATCTTTTTAAAAAATGAGTAAGTCGGATGTTCCAGTATCATAACAGTTCGTTCATTCGTCCCAGTACGATTAATTGAAATATGGCAAGTACCTTTTTCATCCTTGAGCACAGCAGCACAGGACCCTGACGCCCAACTGGCTGCTCTCGGGTATTCGACACCGCACGGGTCCGGCAGCGGCGGTGGATGACGACTCGTTCTCGTTTTTGCATCGAACATCGACATATTCTAGAATTTTCATTCAGAACGGCAATTAAAGCATTTTATCAGACGTTTACAAAAAAACTGAAATGTGGAAAGTTCAATCTCCATTATAAGGATTAATTTAAAAAGCAATCACAAAGCTTCTAGATAAGTGATACTTTTTTACCCAACAATGCTGTTCTGAATATGTGTGCTAGAATCTCTGAGAAAGCTCATTCTATTGAGACTTCAATAAAGTATATTATTTGATTATCCCATTCTTACAATAGTTTCTTTCATTATTTGCAACGTCACTTGTTAATGAACCCTGCAATCCACTGACCTTCATAGAAGCCGGTAAGCCATTCATTCCGTTGTTCTCAGAAATCTTTAATATAAAACTAAAATCTACTAGAACGATGTAAAATCTACGTCAAAAACGATAACAAGGATTTTCTGGGCAAAAACAAGAATGGGAAGATCTACGGCAATGAGAAAGACTTGGAATTAAGAGAATTGCTGAAAAATTGCCTGAGTGAAAACATTCTGAGAGACTAATTTTTACGTGTTCCACCTTTTTCAATTCACAGCCAGTTTCTTCTTGTAATTCGTCTATATGCAATTTCCCTCCTAGTCCTCGAATGTAGCAACTAAACACTGATAGAAAACGGGCTATGGCAACTAGCAATATTCATAACGAGGTCTTCCTTTCGTGATGGGTAGGTTTATCGTTGACATTGCACGTTGCGAGGAGGAGCTAATGGATTTTATTCCGGAGCAATAAGTTCGTGTACTTAATATGAAATTTTCATGAATTCAATGGATAAGTTTCACGTCCAGAAGATTGATTGGCCTGCGATATATGCAGTTCAACGGATGGAATTAAACCAATCTAAGTTGTTTCCACAGCAGAAGATATATTTCACCCTTCCATAGAAAGTGATAGAGGCAGAATAATTAATTAACAAGCAGCAATACTTTACATTATTCATAGTTAAGAACAGAAACTAAAAACTTGTGGCGCTGATGATATCGAGACTAGGTTAACAACAGGAATGAGGTTGGATTAGTTATTTAGACCTTAGGTTCCATAAGAACCAATGCTCATGAATGAATAAGGAATCAAAAATCGACATCGGAGAGATTTAGATGAAGAGAGTTTACGTAGTATTAAAAATGGATCAGTGGTATCAATAGTCCGACTAACAATAAGCCGTTCAGATAATCTTCTGCAATGGTGTTAATCTACGTATTAACTTTCACCGAAATCCAAAGCTTATGAAGCACGGACAGAAAGAGACAATTGAATTAAACAATAATGATAATAGCACATATAACAATTATCAGCTTAACTACTGGGTTCAATACCGATTTGAGCTACCCAGATCAATCTCGTTGACGGGTGATTGATGATGGCAAAAGATGGATAGAACTAGCTGAGAGACAGGCGAGACGAAGGACCCACATGGTGTGGTGGTGGTGAACGCGTTACTCCCTGGAAAGAACAATAGCGCGTTCGTTCCCCACCGCAGACACCTGCGGTCCGGAGTATTGCAAATATCTCAGCATTATACGAGTTATAACAATAATATTTATGGTGATTACAACAGTATTTAGTTAATTTGCTTTCATATAGAAGAACGCTGTTCCCATTTTCTAGGAAGTACTCGCCGAACACTACTACAGCCCTTCCACCATCTGTGCACCACCTATTATAGCCAAGCCGATCAGTCAGACTGAGTAACCCTTCAAATAGTGGCAGTTAAAATAGAGCTATTCTTAAACTGATTAAATCCTACAAGCCCTCATACAACAACAGCTATCAGACGCATTAATATTTTTGTTATTGGCACTTCTCAAGGCAGATGTGTGCTTCTCTACACTTCTTGAATATTTAGACATCAATTAATACAGAAATTAAAAGAGCTTACAAGTATTAGTTGTGCAACGAGCCGATAAAGGACTTAGAATGTCATTTCTATCTGAAAGAGCGCTATGATGAGAGCGGTTTCTACCCAAAATAGGGCTATATGAAGGAGTATATCAGCTTTGACATAAGCCCTAGACACAAATGCGACATGCAGCATGACAATTCGTTAGCACAAATGAAAATGGAATTGAATAACAACGTCTACACAAATTGGAACTGTATTGATAAAAAAAAGAAAGCGAGATCAATCTTATCTTTTCAGTTTGAGCGATGTTACCTGCTCAGCTAATCGCCTATAAAGGAGACGATTACGGCCGACGTTTCTGCCAAACCAGAGTGAAAAAGAAGGCCGTGAATAGAAAAAAATGCTTGAAACGAAGTCATTTAGTTAGTGCGCAACGACTGATGAGTGGTCCTTCAAGATCAGATGACAATGTCTCCATCGTTTCCCAAAGAATTGAAAAAAATCCGAATTTTTGAGCCTTCATGGATGCAAAAGCGGTAAGTGTAAACACTAACGATACAATACGGAGGATTACCGTGGCATGCTGCACGAAATCCAGATTGTTAACTGACATTTGCCTTCGAAATACGGTCTCCGAGGAGGGAAAGAACGGAAAAAGAAAACGTTTTATGAGCATCATAAAATCGGAATCTTTGAGTTTTAGAGAAAGAACACTTGCATATTGTAAGCAATAACCTTTAGGTTCTAACCGCTTCTATCCCAACTGTTAAAATCTAGTACGAGCTGAGATATTTTGGTTTAAAATTTAAAGGGGCCACTATTTTCAAATACAATGGATTGATGTCGGTGCACTCTAGGTGTTATGTTATAAATGAAGAGAAAAGAGTTACCCTTATGCTTGAAGGTGCCCAAAATTTCTACTGCGTTCACCAAATTCCTATTGCTGAAATTTATGATAGGTTAACGGAATTAAGGATCCTCGTCCCAGAGAATGGAAAAATCTCTAGATTCGGCTGATTCCTGATGGCACCGTTAGAGAGAAGAATGGGTAAGAGGAAGGCAAAGCCTTAACGGAGCAGTGTGTAACACGTGAGCACCCGCGGTAGTCGCAGTTTCGATATGGCTTGGGGTCCAGATTTTCCAAATATCTCAACATCACGGTGGCTATATTTCACATCATACTCTTTCGTTAAAGTTAACGATAGGTAGAAAGTAAAAAGTTAACATTGCGATTTCGACTGCAGCCTCGGCTAAACTAGGTTCAATGCCGATTTTGCTCCCGAAATCATTCGCGCCTAGGGGTGATTTTCGACCGCACCATTAGGTAGAAAACTGACTGAGAAAAAGTGAGGGTGTCGTAGGGCAGTTGGTAAAACGTGAGCACTCGAAAAGGGTAACCACGGGTTCGACCCTGGGCTGAGCCCAGGGTTTGTAAATGTCTCAGCATCAGTGGCTGTATTTCACATTATAGTCTGCCATGAAAATAATAACAGAAAGTAAATAAAACTTGTTTAGATTTTTGCTTCCGTGTACCATGTAGAGGTCTCGAAGATCGTTACTAGTATGGCAAATATGGAATGTCTGCAAGGGAGTTGAGGCAAAAATTGCAAAAAGAACTTAGAATGTAATAAATTCTTTTTCTACTACTGAGCAACATTCAGCAGATTTTGGAGGATGTCAGACAGTTAGCTTGTGAAGTCGATGAATGCTCGTGGATCTCGAACTGTGATAAAGGCATGGATCCACTCCGCTTGGAATTCTCAACTATGTTGAGAGGAAGTTCGTCATTTCGACTTGGATAACCAATTGAGAGTAGAGTTTTCCTACGACCAGATCCAGTTAGAGCCAGTTATTGATTCTATTCCAGAAGTAACGATAAAAAAAGTGAATAGTACAAAACATGTGATGGTCTTTGTATTAATCAAGGAGTAGAGCAGCTGTGATATGGAATTATGGCGACAGGAGAATTTATTACCGAACGCTGAAGTCAGTTGTTGATTAAACGAAACGATACGTGTCATGCAGGTGATGATTAGGAAGCACATAATGGAGAAACGCCTGATTTTAGATAAAGCACCTCATCCTATGATTTTAATTTCCTTTGGAGGCAAAATAGCATCGTTTAAGCAGAATGGATACTTTCCAATGAATAGTCGACGTTTTTGCCTATTTAGACGAGATTTAAAAGTACAGGAAGGCCGAGTTGATGATGATTGCTTTGATCCTCCAATGGATTTTTTAAAGTGAACATTATCAAAATATCAACGAAATTATCAATTACTGATATATTTTTTGGCTCTTCTAGCTTACTATCATAAGCTTTTCGAAGAGTGCATATAATTTTTCGGTAACCATTGAAGAGCTATGAACAAGAAAAACTTGTGTAGGTAGAATTGTACTGGCTTCACACTATCGTGTCACAAGAAAATTTTTCTTGTAGATTATTTATTTGGTTTTAGTTTTTTCCTAAATTCAAAACATTAGCGGCTTAGTTTTTATTGTGTGGCACTTATCAGGATGAAATCCTGCTTGTTTAAAGTTCGTCGTTTGAAAGAATGTGAAGAGAAAAGAATGAAAACCTCATTTCTATAGGTGCTTCAGAAATCAAAGGTTTCCCTTTGCAAAAAAAATGAAGATTGTATCCTGTCAGCAAACGTGTATAGATTCTGGCAATTCTTATCAACAGCAATGAAGCTTATTTCCAGCCGAAAAATGTCAGTTTAAAGGCGAGAAGGGCACATATGCATTGAAATCAATGCATCCCATTGTAAATATTGTGCTACGGCATTCAAGATGGGTTTCACCACTTCTACACTGCTACGACTGTGGAAGAAAAACAGGCATACATCAGTCTTACTAACGCTTTACCTACGATGCCATAGTAGTTATTCATATCGCAGACAATCATTAGACTAATGATCTTTGATTTATAGTAACTGTGACACAAATCGTTCTAAGACTATGCTATTTTTATCTTGTTGACATTCTCACAACTCGGAAAACAATGTGAAAAACTTATTTTCGCCGGTGGCTCCAGCGATATGATTTCGTAGATGCTTTCTTCTTTCCGGGATAAGGAGCGAAACCAGTAGAAATCTCCGGTCACGTTAAGCATGGAAATGTATTACTGCCGACAACTAGCTTTAT